ATGGCCCCCTCAAATTTGCGCCATTTTCAATCATTAACTAACCGACACTGAAGTTGTCAATATAATATTTCTAAAATTTTTGCTTTAATAATATGTCTAATATTAGTAGTTTATATTAATGCAAACAAACAACTAAGACAAGCATTCGCCAGTAAAATAATGGAAAATTCATTACACGAGTAAACTCTCCGTCTCCCTTCTCCCTCTCCGTCTCTCTCTCCCTCTCTTAGATTTCAGGGGTTTCGATCTGTCTCTCTATATGTTGGCTTCACATTACTAGATATCAATTGCTTTTATATTTTTAAAATACCTAAAGAAAACAGTTTTTGCATTAATTTTTTTGGTTTAATTTTCTAGGCTGTCAAGAATCCTATGATCTTTGTTATTTACTTATTTTTGAAAATTTTCAATGCGTTTTTCGAGTTTCTTTCGAAAATCTATACAATTCTACGTTGCTGGAATATTCTTGAACTGATCAAATGGTTTCCGATTAGTCTGAGTCGGACCATGAGTTGACTTTCTTGATTGCATCCAGTTCTTAACAATTCACTATCAAAGATCGAAACTTCAAATATATTTTTTTTGGATGCTTAATTATCGATTTTGATTAATGGGTTCTTGTTTTCGTGTTAAATATCGATAAAAGATTCTCTCTTTCTTGATTTTGATAGTTGAATACAGATCTTTGACAGCACAGTTTCTCTCCATGGAAATGAATGGAAATGATGTTAAGAGTGATAAAAATAATAGTAACATTGTAAACAGTGTTGAGTCTCCAAAGATTGTTTTGAAGGAGGAAATTGAAGGAGACGACGAATCACGGACATTGCTGCCATCCAAGAAAGGTGGGCTGTCCAAAAAAACAGGGAAACCTAGTAGGAAAGTGCAGTGGTTGGATAAGAATGGGGCTAAGCTTGCCGAGATTTTGGAATTTCAACCTAGGTAATGAAAATACTCTCTTCTTATTTGTTTCTGTGTAATGTGGTTGCTTAATTTTGATCGAAATTGAGGAAATTTGATTATCAGATGTGATTTGTACTTGTAGGAAGTGAGTTTGTTGTTTCAGGTGCTTAGTTTCATTCTTTTGATTTGGTCTTTTAGTTAGTTCTAGAGTAGAAGTATAAGGTGGTTATATGAATATGAAAGTGCATATTGAATTGTAGCATGTAATGAACAATTGACTCATTGTAGAATGTAGAACAGTAATCAAACTTTGACTGGACTGGAGATACTAGATGACAATGGTTTTTCTCTTTGTGATAGCCGTGCAATGATTTATCTTCTGGACCCAATTTTTTTGTGGTTAGTAAGGAGATGACTTGTTCATGAACTCTTGCATTGATAAGGAGTTCTTTGTTGACAATCACATGTAACTGGGGACGATGACTATATGTAATTTTAACATAAGAATTCAAGATAGTGGTTAGGGGAGGGGAGAATAGAGAAAGTATAGATAAATGGAAGACGAGGAAAGAACATTATTATAAGGAACATGGGTGGCCATAGGGTGCATTGTTCTTATGCTTATGTAGTGTAAACATGTGTAACTCTATCAGCTAGAAGCTAATATTAGAAGCATGAATTTGTTGGGATGCAATAAGTGATCTTACTTTTGGAATTTTAATGCAAATATTCAATTTCTTAATCATGTTCTCATAGCTCTATTTCATTATTCTTATTTTAGGTTCTATTCAGTAAATTCTGGGTCGGAGGAGGTTATAATTTAGGAAGCATGTCAGCCTTTTTTTTCCCTAATAGATAAGTTAGCGATATGTCTTACCCCTACTAATCTATCATCAGAAGGCTATCATGGGAGGAAGATGGATTAGGACTTTGATGGGATGATACAATAGGGCATAATTTAACTAACTGAAAAGGGCATAGCCTCTATCTAAATCTCTTTATTAACACACAATTCTTAGAGGTTAGCAAGTCTCTATAGAGTCTCCATTTCATCAAGTTTCCTATAATGTGCTTCAATTTATGCCACCCCTGCCCCATGCCTTGTTGGTACTTTTGAGTTCCAAATATTTCCTTTGAATTTGAAATAACATTAGAAGCAGATATCATGTTGTTCAAATTCATATTGCATACTTCAAATTGATTATTATGGTTGGATATGATTACATGTCTACCATTACATTATAACTACTTGTTGCAGTTAAGAGTTCATTAGAAACATGTAATATTATGGTCATATTGGACTTTTGTTGAGAGACAATTTCACTGATATAAGATTCAGTAACATTTAGATTGAAAAGATCGATACATTTATCTCTCAGTTCACATGGTTTTTCATTTGCAATAGCTTTTTTCTCCTAGAAAATTCATTATCCTTTCTCCTTTATCTTAATTCAGTTTGAAATGGATCTCATATATTTTGAATTACAAAGGAGTACTTATCTTGATTAAATCTCTTTCTTGAAATATCATTGGATACAATTATTTTTACATATCATGTGCCTGAGTTCTTTTTAGTTTGTATATTATGAAGGTTCCGCTTTTCCCAAAATTTGGCACCTTAGAATGTATTCATCCTTCTGTAACTAAAACATCTTTTTTCTTTATTTGTACTTCGTATTCTTCTGGCTGTTATCTTTGATTTGGTATTTGGTAAATATTGAGGTGACATTTGAGTACCCCCCCCCCCCCCCCCCCCCCCCCCCCCCCCCCCCCCCCCCNTCTTTCCTTTTGTTCACTTGTGCTGTCCAAATTGAATGTCGCCTTTTTCTTTGTAGGGATGTCTCAGTTTGTTGTTCTTTTCCTAAATTGAACTCTTGAATTTCTTTCCTATAAAAACCCATCATTGTACATTTCCATGTTAAAATGCTCTCACCTCATGTAGGGCTTCAAGGGATGAAATTGGGTGGTACAAAATATATGCATGTTCTTTCACTCCTACATCAATACTTTTGCCCAAATAAATGTAGGCTTTCAATATGGGCAGAAAGAGGATGTCTTTGGGTTGCACCAAAACTGTCTATGATTTATTTTGGATGTAGTTAGGCATCATGGTAAACTGAAACTTCAATATACTCGATATGTATATGATTTATTTTGTAGGCAGTTGGGCATCTTGATAAACTAGAACTTCAATAAGCTAACTTCTGTTCCTCTTGGCTTTGCACGTTAATGTAGCAGCAAATTAAGACTTTTATCTTTACTTAAAACAGCCTTTTACGTGCCATTTGTTGTGCTATAATGCTTCTTCCTCATTTTTGATTGACATTTTTTAATTAACTCAATCTTACCTCCAATCTTAGGAGGGATTGTTGCTATTCAGCTTAAGGCTATAATTTGGTAACCTGTTGTAATAAACTGAATGCAAGCTAGTGTCTGAAATCTCGTTAGTTATGGGGATGAAATGACCATGGACTCATTTGAAATCTAATTTCGTTTTTTTTTTTTTTTATTTGAGGAGGTTTTTGATTTAAATATAGAGGTTGGTTCGCAACATTTTACCCTAAGCATCCAGTATTTCAGGAGAGTTAGAAATGCGGTCCCAGGCACTACAGTTTTCTACTAAAGATGCCATTTTGGGTAACCGACATGCTTGAAATTTATTTGACCAGTAATAGTGGTTACAACTTCAGCATGATATGAATAGTTATAATGGACAAAGCCTGATATCGGCATCTTTTTTTTTTTCTTTGGATAGTTAATATTATGTTTTCTCTAGTATTAAGAGTAAAATATACATCTGAGAAAAGACAACCTACATAGCAATGATACATTTGATTCCATCATGGACTGTTGACTAGATTATTATATTCAGTTTTATCTGTTATTCTGTCCTCACTATCGTTCATTTTCCTTGCAGCGATACGAGTGACTCAGAAGAGGAAGATTCAGATTCTTGCATCTGTAGAATAATGTAGATCATGTCACTAGAACATCTTCTTGGTAGTTATCTTGGATCAGCGGAAAGTTAATCTTCTAGGACTCTCATACTGAAGATAAAGATGAAAATTTTCAGCCCAGTGGATCCGTTTCTCTTATGACACGTTTTCTTGTGACGACACCAATTTGTGGAATTCTGAAGAAGTCGAGGAATTAGCAATACCAAATCTAGTTTTAGTTTGAGATATTCAGTGTTTGGTGCATATCAATTCCGTTACTTCGTGCCAAAAAGCAGATAAAGACCATTGCAGCTTCCTTGAAACTCGGAGCCTTCCCTTCTTCTCTCTTCCCTTTCAAATATCATTAATGTGTACATGTATAGTACTCACTGAGCATTCGAAATGCTTCTATATTGTCATGTTTTCACCTCATTTCTGCTACTTTTTATGGTTGATTCTGGTCGGCTGTATCGAACTGAAATGGATCTGGATTGTACAAAGGTCAAAAAATTCTTCATGATATCAGTATCTGGCAATGACACTGTTTTTTTCTTTTTCAATATTTAAACTTTGATATTTTTCCATTTCATTATCAGCCAAAATATTTGGTTCTACTTGTGTCTGAATTAGCTTGATTAGAAATGAATGGCATTCTGCATATACTTGAAGAAGCTCTTGCTCGAGATAGAAGAGGGAGGGGTTGCTTAAAACTGACATAGCATATCGTAGTTGCTAATGATATCTTAATTCTTCCCGTTTTATTTAGCAGTGAACCGAATGGAGTGGTGAAAAAGGATTTTTATATAGTTCTTAGTGATAAGATCAAACATTGTAATTCTGAAAAGATATCTCTCTCCCAATCCATGCCTAATAAGGTGTTACAAACAGCAGATCATTCTTACCACAATACAGAAACCACCAAACACAATAATCCACCGAATCACTAGTGGAAAAAAATTCTAAACAAAAGATCACAAACCAAAGCAGTTGCTAATTATTCCACTCTGTGTGAAGGGAAATACAAACAATATCTTCTTGCAAATCTCTGATAACATTCTTCATTCTTTTTATCGATTATGAGTGCCTTCTTGTAATACAAAACGGAGCAGCATATTAGAATAGCTGGTTCATGTTATTGCACTGATGTTCTTGCTTATAGCTTCATAGTTTCTGTGTAGAAACCAACCAGTTTGAGAGACTGGCATCAACTGGCACTGTGAGTTGAGATATAGAAGCGAAATTTGTCTTGGGTTTAGGAAAATAACCGGGATCTGTAGTCGAGGGAATTTCTTGTTCTTTCTCAACCATGATATTTCCCTTTTGGCGCTTGAACTGTGATCTTGCTTGAGCTTTAATTGCTTTCCACTGCGTGAGATTTTCGACTGGATTGAGCACACTCCTGTCTCGAGTATGACAATTTGATTCAAGTCTCTGGACTTCTTTATTAGACACATTAAGGAATGGCATAGGACTATTGTTTCGTTCTATGGCCATTTGAGCATTTGTTGCTCCATAATTTGATTTTGTCTCTGCAGAATTCAATTGCCAAGAAGAATCTTCTTGGATTTTCGATTCATCATCACTTTCATTATTGCTATAATGATCATCCAATTCTTCACAACTATCATAAATATCGTCGTAATAGAAATCACTTTCCTCTAATTTTATATCATCCTCTTCGTCGTCATAGCCTTCTATGCACTTCTGGTATCTGTAATTTTGAGGGTACGATCTGATGCTCGATTCTAATGAATCCTGTTCACAGCGCGAAACAGGCAGGTTCGTCTCCTCTTCACCCTCTGAAAGGTACGTTTCATAATTTTGTATTGGTTCATAAGCCTTGACGTTCAAATTGAAGCTCACTTTCTTTTTGATTTTCAACTTTGGTGCCTCTTTTGGGTTTTCCCTACAAAAATCAAAGTTAATAACATAGATTAACATATCCTAACATATTTATAAAGGAATGAATTTCGAAACCAAGAGTGACTCACTTGAGCTCAAAATCTGAGGTGATGGGCTCTGGTTTTGTGTCAAGTTTAACAGTGACATCAGAATCTAGAGGCACATACCTTCCACGGCCCTGGAAAATGTAAGAAACAAATGTATCAATTTTCAAGAATAATTTCCAGCTTTAATCGAAAGGGTTTCGAGTGTATATTACCTCTTCTCCCGATAGATTTTTATTGCCCGGCTTTCGACGTTTTCGCTTCTTCTTGAAGCCAAAACAGGCAAGAAAACATCCCATTTGAAGAAATCTATCTAGAATTCCAATCCGTGCCTTGTATTAGTCTATCTATATACACAAT